CCGGCGGTTCAGGGGGGGACAAAAAAAAAACCCCCCCTCCAAAAAAAATTGGGGGCTTGGGAAAATTTAAAAAAAAAAAAAAAAAAAAAAAAAAATTGGTAACACTTTAGTTGACGGGGTGTGCATAAGACCGACATTACACCGTCATAAACATGACATAACACCTGTCATGAACATAAAGAAGTCTTTATGAATGTCTATGACTGTTGTGGTGAAGTGTCATTCGATAAATAATGACACTTTTAATGCAAAGTTGCTCTAAAAGTTGCATTAAAAGCCCATTAGAAGTGCTAACTTTGCATTAAAGTGTTGTTATATGCACAATAATGCAAAGTTGGCCATCTTAATGGACTTTGAAAGCAACTTTTAGGGCAACTTTGCAATAAAACTGCAATAAAAATGACAACAGTCATTTTTACTGCAATTTTTAAAAAAAAAAAGATCGCTTTGATCTGTTTCTTAAAAATTGAACACACCGCTTCTCTGTGCGACATCCTGGGATGAACACAATAAATCAGTTAAGATGCCAACAAGCTGTTCCTAGCGTACAAGATCCAGATGTTACCAAACACTGAGAAAACCTCTGAAAAATATCTAATTCTTAAATACAAATATTTTATTCATCCTAACTGAGTGAAGACAGAAAAAGTTAACAGTAATGGGGGGTGGGAGAAGGGTTACTTGTCTTTTTATGTGGCGTAAAACTAAAGTTTTACATGTCGGTTTTACCGAACAAAAAATACCTTTCAGACCCAACAGCAGATTGAGAGCTCAGGAAAAGTGTGCGTGTCAACAAGAAATATTTTTGAAACATCTACCATCTGGGCAAACATATCAGCTGCTAAACAGCCTATTAAGCGAGGGAACTCAGCTTGACACCAACTCTCACTTCATTTAAAATGTCCATCAATTATCTCACAACAAACAGGACACGCTTCCCTCCTGTCAGAATGGTGTAAGCACATTTTCTCACCTGTCCAGCCATGAACTGCCCGAAGCCAGGAGGGAACGTGAGCGTGGACACCAGCAGGGTGACGAGGGCGGGGTACACCAGCCGCCTGACAGGAAGAGACGGACTGTGGGGTCATTAATGGGGGGTGCTCTTCACGCCGTGAGTAAAGCAGTTGATTCACCGCTCTATGTTTAACTTTTGACGATGACACGTGTCGAACTAGCCTACTTTTCTCCGGAACGACGCTATCACTGTGACACACAGTGTGAGGGAGTAGGAGGAGGATGGTAAACACAAGTGAAAAAGAGCATGGGGGCTTACGGTCGGAGGGTGGAAAAAAACAGCAACAACAGTAATGTGGCATTTCAGAAAACGATTAACAACGACACATTGTGCTTAGGGTGATTTATTCTTTTATATTCCAGGCTTATTGTTTCCTAACTCTATTTTAGTTCAGCTTTTTTTTATATCTTGTTCTTCTTTCTTTTGGTGTTTGATTTCTATGACGTTTGATCTCTAAGTTACTTTTATAGAACATGGGAGAGGAAGACTCCTGAGCAACACTCTAGTGGTTTATACACTCGCATATATTGGGTCATATAATCCTATTTACTTACATTAAAGCAAAGTTATGCCAATTTTGGGCCACATCAAGGTCATGAATGTCCTCAAAGGGCCAGTTGTGGCAAAATGTACTGATAAAACTCATTAGCAAAACATTCAAATATGAATAAACAGCTGTCTGCATTCGATGGGTGCTTCTTAAAAACAAATAATGTTGAACATCTTTTCATACTGACGTAATTTGGCAGGCAAAAACTAAATTTATTTGACAGATAAAATAATATTTAAAGACACTACTGTTGTTTTGAAAAGGGTCCTGTGTGCCCCTCTAGACTCTAGAGGACACATAAAAAGCTATGATGAGTCATATTTGGCCCCCAGGTCTTGAGTTTGACCCATGAGCATTAAAACATATAAATATGATATATTTTTTTGTGAATTTTTGCCATTTTGACTAAAGGTAATCTTTTCAGTCTGTCTGTTTTTCAAAGACAATGTGTGTGTGTGTCGTCATTGGTTTTAGGATGTAACTACTGTTTGCTTTGTCTCTGTACTTTATCCGCCTCCTGATGTTGTCCTTTAAGGATTTATAACAGAGAAGCACTAACAGCCCCTTCAGCAGCAGCATACTGAGCCTAATTGGTGCTCATAAAGTAAAGGAACCAGGACCAGATACATCCGATACTCACTTCCTCAGCAGGAACTTGTTAATGGTCTTTTGCTTCCTCATGCACTCCACAATGTGTCGATTCAGGTACACAAACAGAGCTCCCCCGAACCCACAAGCAATCCTGCAAACAGAAAGACATGACTGGTTTCCTAAAGCAGAAACAACCGCAGAAATCTCAGTTAAGTCAATTATTGTTGGACGCTCTCTCACGGGAGGACGTTATTCCAATTTCCTGATTTTAGGAATAATTTTAGCATTCCAACTAACGTGACACAGGCCGATCCAGAACCATTGTTCTCAAAGTTTCTTTTGTGCCACATTCCTTGAATAAAAATCAAATCAAAACAATCAAAACAATCTTCAAATTCCAAGCAGCAAAATGGCCTCTAAAATTCGAATATCCTCTGAAACTGAATACTGTGCAATGCAGAGCCACTCCCGACAAACACACCCACCCGAGGATGGCGAACGCCGGCAGCTCCTGAAGGTCGAAAGGGAAATCCAGACGGAAGCGCGTCTTAAAGAGAGCGGTGATGGTCTCTGGGGAAAAGAAGATTGTTCTTCACTCTGCTGCAGACAGCATGCAGCCATGAATGACAATCTGTCAGCTTGACTTTTGTATTAAGACGACTGAATGACAAAATGCATGTAGAAGCCATTGTGCAACAGATCTGCTCTGCCGCACAGGTGAAGTCGCACAAATATTCAGAGATTTGTAAACAAAGTAACACCTAGCCTCTTGTACCTTCCTCCTGGTTCGAGACGGTCAGCAATCTGAACACGAACGCACTGAAGGTGGCAGCAAAGAAGCCCCTCCAGTAGTTCCTGACTGCAAAAAACGTTGACGTGACTTCGATACTGAACAGCACACCTGCAACGCACAAATGTACACTGAGAGAATCACACATTTTAGCACCGAGAGACGACCACAGGGCCTTGCAGAAAAAGTATTCAAACTCCTACAGATTTTTTTACATTTTGCCATGTTAAAACTACAACCGTTATTTCTTCTATTCGGGTTTTATGTGATAAAAAAAAAAACAAAAAAAACCCCACAAGGTAGTAAATAGTTTGGAAGTCAGAGTAAAATAAGACTTCTTTTTTTAAAAATAAAAGTAAAATAAAATTAGGAAAAGTATGACTTGCATTTGAACTGAACTGTTGCATAATTTGATTTTACAAAGTGTTGACATGGGGAGGCTGAACAGAATATAGTTGTGTACAATTTTTAAAACTGTCCTTTTTCGATCACTTCTCAAATTTACTCAGTTTATTACGTTTTTGTGCAAAATAACAATGACAGTGATACTACAGAGGTGTAGCAGATAATTTCAGAAAAAGGGCATTACTTTAGTAACTGATATGTTTTTTTTTTCATACATAAAACACCAATAAAGTTTAAGTCAGTAGATTAAAAAAAAACAATTAAAAGTGAGAAGATACAAGGGTTATAAATACTTTTGCCAGGCACTATACCTGCAGCTTGATAAATCACATTCATGAATCCAAAAAGTTTCAATCCTATGGTGCAAGTATTTCAATTTCCTTATTCCTTAGCTGTTCATTCAGCTAATAAAATAAACAAACAAAAAATATTTGTCTATCTAATCAATTACCAAACAATAAACAACCAATTTCAGATTGTTTAAATTCTGGTTAAATATTAAACTGATTACATGCTGTAAATCTCTCATTAGCTATCCAGTACAAACTGTTCTGATGTCACTGTGAGTTTGTTTCAGATCTGTAAATGAATGAGACAAAGTGTCAATCATGTCCCCAAAAAAAACCCCCCAACAATCCCAGTCCGTCTTTGTCTGTCTAGAAGCGTCAGCTCAAACAAAACAGCTATCAAGAGGTTTTGATTAAAATAATTCAACTCTGTGGTAAGAGAAGATGCTGACAGAGAAAGTGTTATTTCAATCAATTGTGTAGTTTTACATATTTCAAGATAAAAAAAAAGAATAAGCATCATATTAATTTAAATAAATCAAGAGACCATAGCCAGATAAAGTAATTTCCTATATTTAAAATCAGTTTTATAAATGATGTCAGAGGACAGCTCCTGAACTTCTTTTGCTGCTTAGAAAAAAAAAACAAGAATCGAAGTTCAAACATTTCCCTGAGTGGGCGAGTCCATCTGTTTCTGAAAACACGCCGTCGAAAGAAGAGCAGCTGCTGAAACCGAACGTGATTCATCACTTTAACATTTTATCCACCAGATTTTTCAAGTTTAGAAAGTCTTGACATTAATCAAAGAGTGGGCGAAGTGTGCATTTTGACCTAGAAGTAAGACGAGAGTTCAAGGCCCATCAACAAATAAAAACGTAACGAATGACCCAGATGATAAAGCTCTTAACTGTTGCTGTGACGTTTTTACTCGTCATGTCCGTTTCTGATTGAAATGTTGATCACTAACCTTACCACTTTGTCTTTCACCATTTACCTTTTAATAGCTTTCGTCAACATCTCTAACGAAGTAAACGAGCTCATGACGCTGTGAAACAAAACCCACTTTAGAGTCACTTAATTTTCGACCTGACAAAACCAGGAAACCAGGACCTGCTGTGTAAAATTTGATCATTTCAAAATTCTACAGACGGAAAACCAGATGTGCAACCCATCTGTGAATTTTCTTCACCCAGTCAGTCCAGTTCACGCTTTGCAGAGATGTTGAAGTTCATCCCTGCAGTTATTGTGTGGAAGTGTCCACACAGGACAGACAACACTTGGTAAGACGATCGTCGACACGCACGCACACACTCACGGACACTGCAGCTCTATCTATAGTGGACAATTAACTAATAAACATATTTCTTTTGATTCTTTAGTTAAACCAGAGCACCCTATAATCTGAGTGTGGATGAAATGTGAAACATTTTTCTGCGAGGGCCCATACAAGTTCAGACCATTTTTTGGGGGGGATAAACTCATTAGAGGCTGATTTTTTTTCTTTCAAAGATTCCCTTGAAACGACTTGGAAAAGCGAGAAACAGCGTTTGATTTTATTTTGAACTTTCTGAAGTAATACTGAAATAAAATAAAACAACTTCAGAGTTTACATTATCAACATTGTCAGCTTTTTTAGTTTTCCACTAGTGCTTTGCTAACTTTCCATGCATATTCAGTATATTTTTGAGCTAATATGCTGACTAATATAATGACAAAAAAAACACACACACATTCCGATTGTTACTTTTAATATTTATGTAAAATCATGAAAATGCTTTGTGAAGACATCATAATTGGTTAAAATGATTTGTTTCTATTTCTTTCAAAAGTGTAATTTGAGTATATTCTTGTGCAAAGTGCACAATAAACATATGTATTGTTTTCAACACACACACACACACACACACACACACACACACACACACACACACACACACACACACAAACACATAAAAAAAAATAAAGAAGTAATTTTGAAACGGCTGTGTCTAGACCAGTGTATCTCAACCCTGGTCCTCACCTCCCCCCTGCTCTGCATGTTTTAGATGTGCCTCTATTCCAGAACAGCTGATTCAAATGATTGCATGACCATCAAGTACTGCAAAAGCCTGTTAATCACCCAGAGACACAATTCAGGTGTGTGGCAGAAGGGAAATACCTAAAGCATGCAGGTCAGGGGGGCGGTGAGGACCGGGGTTGAGAAACACTGGTCTAGACCATTGTGGTAACATCTACAAATTCAACTACAAGCATGTCTGTCTGAATCTCTATAATATAATATGATATAATAAATAATGTAAAAAAATACTTCAGTCTTTTCCTTAAAAGGTAACTAACTAACTAACTAACTAACTAACTAACCAACTAACTTTTATCGGCATCCATTCCTTGCTGACTCCCATTTGTTTGCAGTTCTTTTGTCTCCTTCCTGAACTGGGCTTTATATCCTGGAGGAGAGTAAGCTCCTGAAAATCTAAGTGCTCTCTTCAGTGTGGAGAAGAGAGCATCAGCAAGCCAGAGGGTTGAGGTACCCTGGGATCTGTTGGGCTGGCGTCGAGTCTAAAAGGTTTGCAGGTGTTGCAGTTCACTGTGGAGCAGTCTGAGCTGGGAGCTGGAGGCTCCAAACAGAACCGTCCTGTCTGTCGCGTTGAGCTTTTTTTCAATGCGACCCATAAAATGAGATTTAAAGCACGATAGTTAAACTGAATTTCCTCGTAGACCAACTAAACATCTGGCATTCTGCCCTCAGACATCCAGGAGGAGCTTCTGAGGGGGCTCGGTATGTAAATAATAGATTTTCTTTGCAGCCTTTCTGGGCAGACTGATAGCTTGCAGGGTGGAGTCAGACATCGCTGGAGTGGGTTACATGTGTCACCGGAGCTTGGAACGCCGGGAGGAGCTGGAAAGCCTCGCAGGAGGGAAGGACGTCGGGAACACCCTGCTTAGCCTGTTGCCACCAAGACCAAGCCTCGGATGAGTGGAGGAAAATGGATGGACGGATGAATGGATGGACAGATGAATGGATGGACAGATGGAACTCCTGGTTGAGTCGACATGGAATGTCCCACAAGGAACAATGGGAAACATAAATATACATGTAAGCTCGCATGGCAAGTCAGGCTGATAGTTGTGGAGATACAGGATTCTGCGCTGACTGACAGAATTACAACAATACGCTGGCCTAGCTTACAACTCCTACAGCTAAAAGGGCAAAACATTCTCTTCATCCAGTTAGCTTTTGCATTTATCTACCGTTCCTGGGTCAAGTTCAGTCAGAGGCCTCGGCGGCCGAGTCTTACCTCCGATAGGCGCAGCAAAGCAGCAGCCAACACCCACAGCACAGGCAGCCGACAGCATCTCCGTGTTCCTCAGCTCATTCTGATTAAAGAAAGTAAGATATGCACATATACAAAAACAAACAGAGCAACGCATTCAAGACATTCAAACCTGCAGATCCAAGTTGGTGCATGCGTGCATGCAGGTGCCACAAAACACAGCGAAATTTAACTCAAAAAACACAAAACATCCAAAAGTACCAAGTGTCAAACGTTTGAAATCTGCTCATTTTGGGTTGCAGGTGTACAGGAGGTCCAAAGAAAAAACAAAATTGAATAAAAAAAAAAAAAAAAAAAAAAATGACACGATGAGATGTTTGGACCAAATAAGGCGAGACATATTGATGATGCCTCTCTGCGACTGACCACAGGACAGAATCACACACAGCAAAAACGAATGGGAAGCCATCAATTTGCCCCGGTTTCTGAAACGGACAACATGGACGATCGATGTCAACGGAGTCTGAAACGGAGAAACTGTTTGACTTGTGCGTCCATACCTTGCTTCCCTCAAAGGGCTCTTCCTTCAGCAATACGAACAAAACAAAGGTGCAGATGTGACTTTCTTATCCACTAAATCAAACAAGGAGTGAATGTACTTCAGCAGACGTATTGTTCATTCAACGTTTCCCTGACTGATGTGGAATACTGTCCATGTAGCTGTAACAGTCTGAATCTTTTATAACTGCGCTGTCTGTTTTTTTTTTTTTCCCCCTTTGGGCATCTCAGCTGTGTATCTTCCTCCATACTGTCAAGACTGTGTGCAGCGAGGAGAATCCCAGCCCAGGATCCAGTGCAGAAAAAAAGACTGAGGTCCCGGTTGAGCTTTCATGTGCATGGGGGTAAGAGTGTGTCCTGGGGAATGGCAGAAGGTCAAAGAAGCGTCACATACTTTTTTCAGAGCATAATAGTTTGTGTTTCTTTTCTTCTGTCATAAATAAAACATTTATTCTTTTGTTCAAACGAAGTCTGACTTGCAGGTGTGTGTTTTTCTTCATCTGCTGAGAAAAATCAGTATTATGCTGTTTTTCTATGCTAACTGACGGGCTCTGTGTCTGTGACTTGAAATCCCTAATTTGTAGTTTTTTTGATCAAATAAAATTAGTTTTTCTCAACGGATTTTATTTGGTTATTTCTCTTCCTTTGCTGTTTTATAATTTTCAGTTTGGATTGTTTCATACCTAAAGTAATGCCATCTGCCGTGGGACTTTCCATGCCAACCACGCATCAATTCAAATTTGACTTCAAGATGCTTTATGCCTGATCTACTAACCATTCATTTAATGCAATTTTCTGCAAAGACTCCAGATACCTTCTGAAATAGCATGATTTTGTAAACTGAATCATGCTTTCTGCAGTTCAACTGAAAAAAAATAAAAAAATCACATCTGAAAGGAGAAAAATAATTTTTCTTAAAAATTACAGTCAAGAATAACATTTATTTTCTGATCCCTGGATGTTCTGAATGAAACTTGACTATATTTGATTTCATCCACCTTCACAAAAAAAAAAAAAAAAAATTCTCTTTCCACCATCAACATATATTTTTCTTCAATTAATTATATGAAGCTTGTTTTTGAGGTGAAATGTACCTTTTAAAAATAATCTAAGTGTCATGATCCGTGGTTTTCTGTGAGTTTTTCAATGTGTTCCTGTTTCCCTGTGAGTCTCTGTCCTGTCCTCCCCGTTGATTGCTCCCCAGGTGTGTCTCTTTCCCTTAATTACCCCGTGTGTATTTATACCCACCTGTTGTCTGTGTTCCTCGTCGGGTCCTTGTCAATTGTCAAACGTTGCAGTCTGCGTCTGTCTGTCCGACTTCCCAGTTGTACTGGTTAAGTCCTGTGTCGACGTCAGTTCCAGTTGATTTAGTCTTCGTTGTCAGTTGCTACCGGTGCTTAGCTGCGTGCTAGTTGTTCCTGCCGTGCTGCCTGATTTGGACTATGTGAACTACATTCATCATTAAATTCATCTTCACCATAACCTGGGTTCTCTGCGTCATCCCCTCACCACTTCAACCCCTCCTTATGACACTAAGCAAGTGTCAATCCAAATTAAAACACATTTCTTTTCAATAAGTTTTAACTCTGCCTAACCAGGAACATCTGGATGCTTGTGTTGCTGCATTTATTGACTAATTTGATAGTTTTTATTGGTCAGTTGTTGAACTGTTACCATGTAAAACCCTGGTCAGATATGCTGCTATGCTGTATAAATAACTCGACTTGACTAAAATTTGTGTGGTGTAATATTGTGAAATAACATTAAACATTACCCCCAGAATTGATAATCCAGAGAGCATCTCCAACTATCTTTACCTTTATTTTCCTCACTGAGAAAGCAAATTAAGCTTTAGGTTTCTTTTAAATTTACGGTGTAAAACGTCTGTTGCGCTCACCATGTAAATCCCTCCGAAAACCGCCGCCATTAATTTGCTCAGGAGAGCAGCACATAGGCTGGCCACGTGAACGAAGGGCCCCTGTGAGAGACGGTGAAGGCAAATGTCACCAAACAAAGATACTAATGAAAGCAATACAACTGTGAGAGCGGAGTGATGCATTTACCTCCCGCGGGGGGAAATCATTAAAACCCCTTTAGACAAACAAACCCATACTCAGATTGACATTCTGCTGTGAGGAGTGACGAAGAAAAGGGTCCTCTACCTCTTTCCCCAGAGGCATCCCGCTTCCCAGAGCGCAGGTCAGACCGATGACTTTAGCCACAAAGGTCTTAAAAGTCAGGTACTCCTTGAGAACAACTCCTCTCAGTATTGTCTTCATCTCAGGAATGCCTGAACCTGAGGTGGGAAGAGAGAGAAAGAGGAGGAGAGGAGAAAGAAATGCCAGGTGGGATGATGGAGTGCAGGGAAAAGATGAGTTGAAAGAAAGCAATTACAGCGAGGAGGGATACGATGAAGAAACGAAGAGCACAGGAACGGTAGGGAGGGGAGCTGATTGATATTCATACAGTTTTGTGTATGCACGTCTCATCAGCAGTACATTTTATGACTGTCCTGCCCGTAGTGACTCGCAGGACATGTCCTTGGAGCCCTCGCTGTGCACTTCAGAGCCAATTACATTAGTCAAACACAGAAAAAAACAACAACTGTGAATTAGAGAGATGAATACATGTTTGTGCATAAATGGTATCTGTCTTACCAACAGCCTGAGGCGCTAGTATCTGAGTGAATCCTGCAGAGAAAGTGATGAGCACCACCGGGTAGGAGACCCAGGCAATGTATTGCAGAAGCATGTTGTTGTCCAGGCCAGCGTGCATCCATTTCTGTGCTGCACAGACACACACATAAGTCACGTCATCTTGTTATGAAACAGCAGGAAGCAAGGCAACCGGCATCTTTGTTCCTCGGTTTTACTTTTCTCTCCATCTCTACTAACTGCATGAATTTGATGTTTTCTTTACAAACACACACACACACACACACACACACACACACGGAAGAAAAAGCCAGATTAGGCTGAAACTAAACAAAAACATAAAGTCATTAAAGGCCTAAAATGAACTGCATAATTTACTCGCATAATTTACATGTTATTTGTTTCCTATTAAGAGTAAGATTGTTATGGAGTGAGACTTAAATAGTTCAATTTTGTGATAATTTTACTGTTCTTCACTGCACTATCATTTATTTTTCGAAAGCAGTCTTGGCACATACATTACTGGAGACCCACACGTGTGAGACAAGTGGCTATTTTAGACCAGTTTTAACAAAACTGAAAAAGCTTCCAAATAAGCAAACAGCAAATCTGAAGTAAATATGTTTTTAAAATGTCTGAGAAATGTCACAAACAATCTCAACAGCAACAAGCCAAAAAAGTGGCAAAACCGATTTTGGAACGGACAAATCTGTGAACATGAAACTGACCAGTGTCACCAATTCATAACGAGGACTGACGTCTTCAGATTGAACGCTTAATACATAATGGCAGCCTCTAGGAGAACAGCCCATCGTTCAGACACCATCTCTTCTTCTGGCTCCATGTCTCTTTCCTACCTTCTTGGCAAAAGGCGATGGCGTAGTCCATGACCCAGCTGACCAGAGCCATGAGCAGCCCCAGCAAAATGAGGAAGATCCAGTCCTCTCCCACCCGTGAGATCAAGAACTTCTGGCAGCGAGATGCACAAACTGATGACACCAAACAAGAAAGAGAGAGGGGAATGTAAAAATAAATCACTGACGAAGTTACCTGCTATTGGATAAGATTCAGAAAACACCGGAATGGGCGAACACACAGAGCTGTTCTTTTACAGAGGCCAAAAGAAAAAAAAAAGAGAAAAGTACTGGACAAGCCACCATTTTTCTCATTTCAATTATTTCTAATAATTCTGCTCACACGGCATTTGCAGCAAATGTCGATAACAACCAAATGAATCTACACAAGTAGTGAACTGTTGAAAAAGGGATGTAAAATAAAAGGCATAAAACCCCCAAAAATTCAGCATTTAGAAAGCTTTACCTCCACTGTGTGTTCATCAGCATCACCTGTTTTAATAATATCTGCTCATTTTTAAAGTTTTCCACTTTTAAACTAATTGTAGGTGTGAATTATTGAGGTTGTTTTTGACAACTGGTGTGAATTCAAAGTGAACAGAAGTGTTTAAACTCAGAAAAATGTTGGCATATTTAATACCGTTTTTATACCCGCTGTTTATAGGTGTTGTAAAAGAAAAGAAAAAAAGAGGAAAACAAACCAAGAGCTAATAAATTCCCAAAAGGCTGTGAAACCTAACACATCTTTTCTTTTTTTTTTTTTTCTTACAGTTTCATGTTGTGAAATCCTGGATACTCACTATCCGGTTTTCTGTGAATAAGCTGGAGTGCTTAGAGGCTGAAAGTGTGAATACGGATTTAGTCTCTTTTATTAACTGCACGTTAACAAAAAATGATTTGCTAAAGCATCAACAGGACCAAAACCTCCATGAAACAAAACCATTCAACACCAAACCAGATCTTTAAATTTCTTTCCAGTTCTCGAGTAAAGTGAAGAAACTAAATTCAGATTTGAAATTTGTGTGAAATATTTTATACGACAATTCACGTTCTGTGGAAATAAACAACCCGGTGAAATTTAAAACAAACTCTCTCAGACCAGCTTATCCTTCAGCTAAATATAAAGATCACGAGACAAAGAGCTCAATGGGCGACAGCGCATCATTTAATCTATTTCAAAACGTGGCAATAAAAGCTAGGTCACAGTTATAAACTTTACTACAATACAATCTATAAATCTGAGCTAGGTCAACTAAAAGAAGCATCACTGGACTAATTTCCTCACTCCGGTCTGTTAAACAGCCAAAGCCTGGAATCCACGTCAGTATCCAGAGCATTCATCGATGTGGTCATCCCTAGAGGAGACAGAAATGTGCCACTAACTCACAGAAAGATCCGTATTTCCTAAAACCGCTTCAGTCGAGTTACCTTGAACTTCCTTCTTTTGCTAATATGTCCTGTTTTACTTTTGCTAAGTGGAAAAGTTGAGGATATAAAACATGTTGTAATGTAATGCTGATGTCCATGAGGCTCTGCATCCAACCCGACCTTGACCCACTCACAATCTGCTAACAACCATGAGCAAACAGCCGGCCTCAAAAATTGTTTAAATTTAACTTGGAATCTGTTGCAAGAATTGAAAACGTTCGTCCTCGGACACTCTTAACAAAGCTGCAACTATTTTAAAAAGAGCAATGAAAAACATATTTAGTTGTAGAAGAAAAAGTGGAACACCATGCATCCCTTTTCTTCCCACTCCACACTTGTGCACCAGTTTGTGATGAAATGGATGAAATAATGTTTGGGGATGTACCTAAGAGAATTTGTAACAATTGTTCACCTCTGCTTCTCAGCAGCAAATCTTTTTAAAATGTTCAGAAAACAAAAAGTGTCTGAAGGACATAAAAAAAAGAGAGAAGCAAACATTGCAGCCCCCTTTTGGTGTATGCAGCAGTCAGAACACAATGGAGGTTGTTAAATCTCTGAGGGGAAAAAAAACAACAAAAAAACACAACTGTGTGTTTGACAAGCCAAGTTGCCCAGCAGTCAGGCCACCTGCTGAATGGACAGCTGCCAGCAGAGAATGCACAAGCAAGCAGAGTAAACATGCAAACACTCTTAATCAGCTCGACCAGCAGACGAACCAAACGCTAACCTAATGCTTGAAAAGATAAACAATTATCATCATAGTCTGCCGTCATGTTTTCAGGGTTAAACCTTAATTTCATTTTGGGAAAGCTGCAGAAATTTCCAAAAATGTTTTTTGTTTTTTCCCTCTCATATGGTTCTTGGCACAATGCCTTAAATGGAAGCAATCAAGCAAAAATATAAAGCACCTTAATCACACATGATTTGTCCTCAACCGAATCTTAATGTATAAAAGAGGATTGAAATTGTAAAAAAAAAAAAAAAAAAATTACAAGAATTTCCCCACTTAATAATAATAATAAATCTTTCCTCCCTCCAGTCCTCATAAAAATAGTTGCTCACATGAACAGTGTCTGGCACCTGCGAAGCCTCATCCTTCCGTGTTCATGTTGGCTCGCTCTCACATCCGCAGACTCATGGCATTCGCAGATGTCTTCTACCCCTAATAGAGATCGTCCCCATAGCCAGACAAAATTTTAATCCCCCCTGGCCCTGCACCGCGTCAACAGACACCGACATTGGAATAATAAAGAATTAAACTTATTTTGGATTCTTGCAGCGTAAGAGGCACTGAATGTACTGTGAAACATACTACACCCGTACATATAGTACAAAAAACTTGAGTTTTGAGTCACATCAGCCATAAATAACTAAAAAAAAAAATAAAAAAAAAAAAACCTCCCTTTGTGAGTCAAAATAAATTCAACGAGGTGCGTGGTTTTAGCTCTCTGACAGGCCTGCAGCTCTGTGTGTGTGTGTGTGTGTGTAGGCCGCCTCGTTCAGAAGCAGCAGCCACTGATCTGAAACGAGGCTCTTACACTTGAAGTCCATCACCCACAGAGATGCCGCTCCCACACACAAATGCATGAGAGGAGAACACTGAAACGCCCACTTCCTCTAAAAACCTGAAGGAAGCCTCTCCGTGTGCATTACCTAAGAAGACAGTGGCTGGGCAATATCTCTGAAGATGGATCTAAAAATACAAACACCACTTGATCTAAGAGGCGCACACCGCAGACAGAGAGCGCACACAAATCAGCGGCTGCTGATCCGGCAATGGAGGCTTCAAGAGGTCGGCTTTGCAGAGAACGAGAGAGGTTGGGCTGATATAGTGTAGTTTCCACCGCGGGTGCAATCAATCGCACTTTAATCAGACTGCTAAAGTCACAGGGGATGGAAGCATAAATTGATCCTGGAGATCAGCGGCGTTGGTTTAGTCATAAACACCTTTTTTTTTTTTTTTTTTACGTAGACAGGGTTTTTACTGAATCTCGCAAAGTTCAAACAGAAAACAATTAAACTCCAACTAATTCCCTTGAGCTAAGGGGCAGAGAGGGAAGACATGGATGCATTTCCTAAAACTGCAGTTCCCCACATCCCTCACGACGTCAAACATAAAACATGTACGCATTTCCCATGAGCACATCATGGATATCATGGGAATCTCTAATATTTAAACTTTCTGGCACTAGAATAGATGTGTGCATCTTCTCGAGTGTGGACATATAATTAAGATCTCTTGGTAAAATATGCAGTGAGTTGAAAGCAGAAAAGAAGTAAAAAAATAATCTGTTATGCAGTTTAATAAGCCAGTGACCAAAATCTGCAGGTAGTAAGCAAGAGGCAGGGAACAACCTGGACAGTCTATCACTTGGTAACACCTGAGGGGCAAAGTATTGTATAAAAACAAAATAATAAAAAATTGCACATATTTTCATTTGTGGGTGTGAAAGTGGAATATTTGTAGAAAAATGTCATAAAAGCCATACATGCACAAGGTGAACCTGCATTCTCCATCGAGGTTCACCAGGATTTGAAGCCAAGAACCCAAGACCTTGCTGCAATGCAACGGTGTCAACAGCTGTGCAGCTGCACAGCACTTAAATAAACCCAAACATATAGTGTTAAATAATAAAACTGAGTTAAGCAAAGATTGCATAGTTTTAGATAAACGAACATTAACAATAAATTTGAACAATAATGTCACTAGTACAGTTGGTAGGTTGATCTTAAAAGCAACTTGTGTTTATTTTAAAATCAGCAAAATATCAAAACGTCATAGTAATTTGTAAAGGTCGGAAAGTGCTACGGAAAGCACATTTTCACGTCGCTTTCTATGTGTGTGTGTGTGTGTGTGTGTGTGTGTGAAACTAGATCCAAAGATTTTTCCAAACAGACAAAAATACTGCAGATAAAGTCTGTGCACTTTTTGTTTTAGTATGCGGTAGCTGTAACCCGATAAGTCCCCAAGGCCTCTGATATTTGAGATTCCTCTCTCATATAGCATATTTTTCTACAGTCAAGGAACTGTGGCGGTGCTGTACTGCACAAAATAGGCAGCATCCTTTGTACTTCACAATCAATTATGTCTACGTTTAGCAAGGTACACCGTAGGCGAAACGAATCCATAAACTGTCAGTTTTAAACTGTCTTATTTTATGTTCATAAAACATCAATAGATTCACAGTGAATCCTTCAAAAATAATGCATTTATTCAGATGGTGGTCAACATATGCAGCCTAAAATGATGCAAATAAGCAGAGTTACTACTCCTACCTATGAACTAAAATCGATAAGGTGTTTCTTTGGGAAAAAACAAAAAACTATATCTTTGTTACAGGCCCTCCTGCTGCCTCCTGCCACTCCGTTACTGTTGAATCCATCAGTCTGAAGTGGAGCTCTCTCTGGCAGCGCCACTCTCTTATCTGCCTTCAGCTGGGAACACGAGACAAAAAGAAAAATAATCTGACGGTTCAGATTAGAGTTCAACTCACAAAAGAAAAAAAAATAAATAAATAAACACACAGTAAAGCAAGTATCTCCCCAAACATACGTGGACTGACAAATACACTGCAGGCCGCTGGCAGCCAGCAGAGGGTGCACACATTGAGGCAGCCCTTGTTAGCTGCAGGTTGTTGCTCAGATCAGTCACTTTTAATCTTGCTCACATCCTCCCCCTGCTCCCAGGTGTCAGGTAGCTGCGCCGCCGTAACTTCAAGGAGCCAGTGTTTTCACGCTGCTTGCATGTCTGCTGGAGCTCTGCAATCTGCCATAAAAGGCTTTTTCACACACACACGCACACGCACACACACACACTGCACACAGCCAGCAGCGCTGTGCTGGACTGACCTTCAGGGGGGTTTTCCACATTGACACAGTATTTTTGTGTCAGGTTCTGAGGCTTGCTGAATGACCATCACTTACGTTGGCACTTTGCACAGGGGTCTTTCTCGTACTCCAGCAGGTCTGCGGTGCGGCTTCGAACGCTGGTGTTCCTCCGCAGGCCACCGCCGTCCCGCACGCCTCCATCCCGCAGGCGGGCCGCCTCCTCCTTGGCATACACCCCCAGCTCCTGGGTGTAACGCCCATACATCTGTATATACGTAATGCAAGGGGGGGAAAAAAAAAAAAAAATGAACACCTTAGTGCAGGCAATAGAGGTGGGAGGCAGATATGACTCAGCAGGGTTTGTGTTTAAAAACTGACATCTCACAGCGGGACGGCAGGCTTACGTAAACACTGAGAAACTTCAGCCCAAACTGAGGCTAAATAATAGAGAGGGTGAGGAAAGTTACACAACTGAAAAGTTGTTGAATTCATATTTAGACCGCGTTGTACAGCAGCAAGCTTAAAAAAGGTGACATAGTTTTTTATTTCAACATTTCGATAGTGTTTCCAAAGCCATTGGAAACACTATCTACCCTGAATCAAAATATGATGGAAAACTATATCAAGTTTCTTATCTTTCTGCAGACAGTGAAGAAAAAGTGATGATGTGCGATTAAAAAACAGCAGTGTCTGCATTTCTCTGTATAAATTTAAACATTCACTCTAGGACCAGGACATTTTTTATATATATATATTTTTTTGTGTTCCTGTGTTTTACTGGATTAACACCAAGTTTTAGGAACACTACTGTTTCAAGGAGCTGCATCACATCTGTGTTGCATAAAGTTGAAACAACACCTGGAAACGGTGAGCAGGTATTCCAGCCCAGAATGACTGGATCATTGAATTAAAATAAGGGAAAAAAAAACATAATTTTAAATATGTATTTAATAATTATAAAAACATCAACAACAATAATTCAATAAAATGTGTATTCAATACAAGTCAGAAAAATATATATATATATATATATATATATATATATATATATATATAAATATATATATATTAATATATACGTATATTAATACGTAGGTTTCATATTTAATTTATTATTTAACATTTATGTATTAAATAAAATTATATGAATTCATTTTATCTTTAAACATTTTTATTTTATTTTATTTATTGCATTGCAGGATTTCTAGCCCATCTTAACGCAGAAGCAAATTCCCTCAACGCAAAGCCTAATTGGCACATTCATCTCAAGAGAAAATCCACAGAGTTTTCGCTCCTCGGTCATGAAAGCTCTACCTGTCACATCCTCTCGCTCATTAACTCCACAGGCCTGTCACACATTAACTCCTGACGAGAGGCGGAGCTCCAAGCGAGACGGCGCCACAAGCAGCCGTGTACAAAAAGCTGTGACGGGGAACGGCGTGACCTACATCTCCGGTTTTGTGTCATGCCCGCCATGATGGCGCTGCTCCAGCGTCTGCTCGGTGTTGTTTTGGTTTGCGGCGTTTGTGCCCAGCAGTACTGGCGGCAGCCGCAGAAACACCCGCTCACGCCTACTTTCCAGAAGCCTCAGCAGCAGTCGAAGGTGCCCCCACCTGCAGCTCCATTACATGAATGTGTCCTGGAAGAGGCTGAGAAGATCCAGTGTGGGGCTCCAGGGATCACTGTTGATCAGTGTCAAGACATTAGCTGCTGTTTTGATGGGCACCTGTGCTACTATGGGAAAGCGGGTATGTATATGTGACCAACTTCACTTTTTTTTTTTTTTCCTCATATCTTAATTTTTGTAATATAAACACCCATGTATTGCACTCTTCTTGCCCAGTAACTGTACAGTGCACCAGGGATGGCCAGTTTGTAGTGGTTGTGGCCAGAGAAGCCACTTGGCCACCCCTGGATGTCAACTCGGTCAGCTTGCTTGACCCAAATGAAGCTTTCTGTGGACCAGTTGATGGCACCTCTGCCTTTGCCATCTTTCAGTTTCCTGTGACTGCATGTGGAACAACACTTAAGGTGGTTTTTATGGTCCCCAATTTGAAAACTACCATTAATCCCTTTTTAAACAGTCCAACTGAATATCAAAGCATGAACTGGAATTTGTTGTTTAGTTGTGAAATGGTGTGTTGCCAACTACAGAGGTTTAAACGGACTGGATGGTATGACTCAAGCTTGAATGTATTGCTATTTACAGCAGAATGACGAAGGTTATGTGGTGTACGAGAACCATATGGTGTCTTCGTATGAGGTGGGAATTGGACCCAAAGGCTCAATCACCAGGGACAGCCATTTTGAGTAAGTTTACTTTTCTTCAATTATACCCCCCTACCCCCCCTGCTGCCCAGTAAATGTGTTTACTGGCACATTTAAATGTGGTCTACAGTAAATTTTCAGGATAAAACTGACCTGTGAAGCTTCCAAGTATATTCTGAGAGCATGCCAATTTGAATCGTCTTCCAAGATGCAAAACCTTTAACAGAACATGAAGGCTCGTCTTCCTGCAGATTGCTGTTCCAGTGTCGGTACTTGGGCACAACTGTGGAGGGTCTCGTCCTGGAGGTGAACCCTGTTCCTCCGCCAATGTCTGTTGCTGCTGCAGGACCCCTGAGAGTGGAGCTCAGACTGGGCAAGGGCCAGTGTGTTTCCAAGGGATGTCTTGATGGTATGTAGCATTAAATTCACCACACGAGCTTCGGCGAGGTAAACCTAATCGAGCTGATATGATTGCAGATGTGGCGGCATATAGCTCCTTCTACAGCTCTTCTGACTACCCGATCTCTAAAGTGCTGAGAGAACCAGTTTACGTTGAGGTCCGTCTCTTGGGGAGATCTGACCCAAACATTGTCCTGAACCTGGAACGCTGCTGGGCCACTTCAAACCCAAACCCTCAGAGTGTACCACAGTGGGACCTTCTAGTGGATGGGTATGAAAGTGTTCATGTTAACAACTGGCCTCATGCTAATTGTACTTACAAAATATGCTTTGCTTGTATGCAGCTGTCCCTACCCTGATGACCGGTATCTCACCACAGTGATTCCTCTGGATGGCTCTTCTGGCCTCGAGTATCCAACTCACTACAAACGTTTCGTCAGCCGGATGTTCAGCTTTGTGAATTCTGACACCTACGCTCCTCAGAAGGATACGGTACCAGTGTCTGCTTTCATGACTAAACTGCATCACCATACCTGCTGTCAAAGGTTGACTATGTGCTCCTGACTTCCAGGTGTTCATTCATTGTGCCACAGCTGTATGCTATCCAAGCAGGGAAAACTCCTGCGAACAGCAGTGCCACAGGCAAAGTGAGTATCCCCTGAACTTTAGCTGCTGGGTGATGTTGTAGAAGTGTGATGGGGGGAACCTGGTTCAATTTACAGGTTCTGCACATGATGGAGGTCTTAAAACTAAAACCTTGTGATTTACAAACCAGAAGTAACTAATTTTTGGGATGACTTAAAATGCCCTTTGAGTTGGGATGCTGACTTGACAAATTTTGTCAGCAGACTTGGCCACATTGCAGTGCAAAGGAAAGGCTGCTTTGCTTTAAAGAAGGACTTGGTGGTTTCTTTTATGGGGAAAAATTGGCTTTGTGGCCTCTTTAAAAAAATAAAACTAACTTGCACTCCAGTCTTATGAATACAGTTGCTGCTCTGCTCTGGCAGCTGCAACAGTCATTGTCTAAAAGTCAAATGTTGCAGAAATCTTAATGTTTGCTCTTGCAGGAAGAGCTGCAGCAGAGGAGGTCCCCCCCAGCCACAGGCTCCTGGTGTCAAGTGGTAAAGTGATCCTGTTAAAGTCCACATCTCATCAGAAGCGATGATCCATTCAGTGCTGTATGAACTGTTTTTTAAATAAAGCTGGCTGAAAGTCATTGCCTGCTTCTGCATTTTTAATTCTTGAATTGCTCTTTGACTCAAAGTGGGCTGCTATGGTAATGTACACATTTGCTCCCAAATCACTAGCACTGGGATGATTCCCAATAGATCCAGAAAGCCCCCACTGAGTCTGCCAAAAGCAAGAATTCACTATATAAACTTGCATTAAATTGCACTAGTTGCCTGTTGCCACACAAACCCACAAGGTTTCTTTAAAGGCAGGACTTCAAATGCCAAATAAGACAACTTTCTAAATTGCCAAGGAACATGTAGGCGGCTTAATATAGGGATTCCACTGACTTTAACATGTACCCACAGGAGTAAGGGGAGGATCTGGCTCCTCTGACTCTTGCGTTGTAACCTTCTGTTTTTACTGCTGTGCTCCACCTCCCTTTGTTTTCCCTGCCTCATTGAGATGGGCATCACGACTCCACCAGCCTAACTCGCTCTGCTTGCATGAACAGAGGTGCAGGAGGGGAAAGCAGAGCAGCAAAGGATGTCGGGATACGGATTGCCTTCCTCTTGCAACTCCTGTCCTGCTGGAAGGTATTGAGGTAACGACGCCTCGTCTCTAAAGTTCACAGAAACGATCTCTGGAGACTGCCGGTAGATGTGAATAACTATTAGATTCTGAGTGAACGAGCATCTGGAGTAAAGCTTTTATGGTTAAATTATTGGACAAGTCAAGACTCGGTTATAGACGAGCTTTATCTTAGTCAGATCTTTGCATTTTTCTATATTTTATATTAATGTGAAAATCATTAACCCTTTACCAAAGCTAAAATTAGTCTAATCACTCCATGGCAGAGATGTAGTGCTATCACAGTAAGGCTTTTAAGAAATTTCCATTTGCTTCCTTGCGTTACAGTTGAAATCGGACTTTTATGCACAAGGTATGCTAAACAGTTTTTGCCTCACTGCCTGATATTAAAAATGTTTCCATTTAATGTCTGATCAAAATTATACCATATATTTTAGTCGCATCAAAAGAAGTTGGTGTTCTTGATTACTTTATTTTTGAACAATTTTGGAAAGCCAAAATGATGTCATGGCTTTTTACAGGTTAACATCTGAATTAAATGTGATTTAAGACAGAATCAGTCTGTGTGTTGCATCAAAAATAAACAAAACCTCCACAATCAAACTTGTGCATCTCCAAACTTTGGTTCATCTTCAGTTTCCAGATGCCACAAGGTTCCACATTAATCTGTTCAAACAGACTTAATGTCAGACAGGCAGAGAAGTAAAGGTAAGAATATTTAAACCACTGGTTTCAACTTTAAAATCCAATCTTATGATTCCTATGAATATTGAGTTTACATAAAGCTCAAATGAAAATATGAACACAGTTTAAGGGGATAAAAATTTCCTTTCATAA